GCAGACAAAGCTAGGAGGAAGAATATTCGAATTGCATGACTTTCTGATCCAGTGGTGAATACTAACAGTTTTCCGGATCTCACTGACTCCTTCTGGTGAATTCAAATATATGCCAATCACCTGTTGTTTTATGAAGCAGAAAATTCATCAAAAACGCCCCGTTCTACCAGTCACTGTCTTCCCGGACCTAACTCAACAAGGAAAAAAGAAAATATCCAGGCAAAGGAGACTGTGAATAGAAAGCAAGTTCTCAGAATGTGCACAGCACACAAGAAGAGAAACACAGCCTTACTGAGTTACAGACGATCTTCACCCTATTATCCACATAAGCAGAACTTTGTTTACAATTATTTTATTGTTTTCAATGAGTGTTGTGTCAATCACAAATTGGCGCTAGCCAAGAGCATTTGCCAGGGCTTTCCTGATGGTTCAGACAGTAAAGAGTCTGCCTGCAATGCGGGAGACCCGGGTTCGATCCCTGGGTCGGGAAGATCCGCTGGAGAAGGAAATGGCAACCCACTTCAGTATTCTGGCCTGGAGAATCCCATGGACCCAGGAGCCTGGTGGGCTACGGTCCACAGGGCTGCAAAGAGTCGGACACGACTGAGCCAGTTCATTTTCCTTGACTTTTTCTGAACACTGTGCTGCTGGAGCTATTGAGCTTCAATGCCCCGTGAGGGAAGCTCAAGGCAGAGTGAGGCACTCTGTGCTCCAGGGACTCTGGTAGGACAGGTCTCTAGATAGTTAGATATTTTCAGGAGGTGATTTCAGGATCTTTTCACATCTAGAGAAGCACTAAATCCCTTCCTGGTCACATCAGCCCCTCTGACTGGCAGAAAACCTTTTGTAAAATGAACGCTTAATTGCATGAACTCCCCCTCCACCAAAATCTTATATATTGACCTTTCCCCACTGCTGCTCTGGAACAGGCTCTCAGAGCTATTGAGGCACTGTCTGCCAGGCTGCAGTCCTCATATCGCCCCAAATAAAACTTAACTCACAACTCTTACATGGAGCATCTTTTTTTAGTTAACAGTTGGTAGAGGGATACTGGCAGAAAATATGTGGCTCGTGGTTAAAAAATTCACATGATAAAATTCTACATTAAAATGATCTGCTACTCTCTGCAACAGAATTGAAGTGGCTGATCCTTTTTCTTTTCTGTGTTCCTGGAATGCACATTTTGGATCCTGTGTGTGTGTGTGTGTGTGTGTGTATCTACAACTGATAGCTTGCAACACTGAACAATGTCAGATTCCTGATCTCCAAAGAAGAAGATTTAGCTTCGGTACCAGGGACCAGTCTTGATCCCTCGAGAGCTTTTGCATGGCAGAGTTTTATTAAAGTAAGAAAAGGGACAGAGAAAGCTTCTGACACAAACATCAGAAGGGGGACAGAGAGTGCCCCCCTTGCTAGTGTTAGCAAGGGAGTCACATACTTTTTAAATTAGTTATTACAACAAATCAAAAGAATGTCTCACACTTGTGAAAAATTTTACCAGACCCACTCCCACAATTTACATTTTCGGATAACAGGATTAGAACTCATCAACAGAAAGATCCTACCAGACCCACTCCCATAATAAAACATTTTAAGATATCAGGATTAGTCAGAAGGTTTTCAGGAAGGAGAAACCATCCTCAAGCAGGATACATTATTGTTCTATAACCCTTCAGTTCAGTTCAGTCGCTCGGTCATGTCCGACTCTTTGCGACCCTTTGGACTGCAGCACGCCAGGCCTCCCTGTCCATCACCAACTCCTGGAGTTTACCTAAACTCATGTCCACTGAGTCGGTGATGCCATCCAGCCATCTCATCCTCTGTCGTCCCCTTCTCCTCCTGCCCCCAGTCCCTCCCAGCATCAGGGTCTTTTCCAATGAGTCAACTCTTCGCATGAGGTGGCCAAAGTATCGGATTTTCAGCTTCTGCATCAGTCCTTCCAATGAACACCCAGGACTGATCTCCTTTAGGGTGGACTGGTTGGATCTCCTTGCTGTCCAAGGGACTCTCAAGAGTCTTCTCCAGCACCACAGTTCAAAAGCATCAATTTTTCCGCGCTCAGCTTTCTTCACAGTCCAACTCTCACATCCATACATGACCACTGGAAAAACCATAGCCTTGACCAGATGGACCTTTGTTGGCAAAGTAATGTCTCTGCTTTTTAATATGCTGTCTAGGTTGGTCATAACTTTCCTTCCAAGGAGTAAGCGTCTTTTAATTTCATGGCTGCAGTCACCATCTGCAGTGATTTTGGAGCCCCCCAAAATAAAGTCTGACACTGTTTCCACTGTTTCCCCATCGATTTCCCATGAGGTGATGGGACTGGACTCCATGATCTTAGTTTTCTGAATGTTAAGCTTTAAGCCAACTTTTTCACTCTCATCTTTCACTTTCATCAAGTGGCTTTTCAGTTCCTCTTCACTCTCTGCCATAAGGCTGGTGTCATCAGCTATAATCCTTAGTACAGAGTTTAAACTGAGTTGTTGACTGTGTACTCATCAGTCCAAGCTTAAAGAAAAAAGAAGTTACATGTGACCAAAACTCAGGAGTGCAGAGAAAAAAAGATGTTTGTCCTTTCCTCCTCCTTGAGAATCCTAGACTCGTATTTCCTCCTCGGGGGTCCTAGGCTTCTTACCAATCTGCCTAGGAACTGACTCTCTCACAACTACGTATGTACATATATGGCTATAAATACCTGAGGCACATACATGAAGTACACATATATGATTGTACTTAGACATATATACACACACACAACGTAGGTCAGAATATATATGCAGGTGACACTACCCTTATGGCAGAAAGTGAAGAAGAACTAAAGAGTCTCTTGATGAAAGTGAAAGAGGAGAGTGAAAAAGTTGGCTTAAAACTCAACATTCAGAAAACTAAGATCATGGCATCCGGTCCCATCACTTCATGGGAAATAGATGGGGAAACAGTGGAAACAGTGGCTGACTTTATTTTTCTGGGCTCCAAAATCACTGCTGACTGCAGCCATGAAAGTAAAACACCCTTGCTCCTTGGAAGAAAAATTATGACCACCTAGATAGCATATTAAAAAGCAGAGATATTCCTCTGCCAACAAAGGCCCGTCTAGTCAAAGCTATGGTTTTTCCAGTAGTCATGTATGGATGTGAGAGTTGGACCACAAAGAAAGCTGAGCACCAAAGAATTGATGCTTTTGAACTGTGGTGTTGGAGAAGACTCTTGAGAGTCCCTTGGACTGCAAGGAGATCCAAGCAGTCTATCCTAAAGGAAATCAGTCCTGAATAATCATTGGAAGGACTGATGCTAAAGCTGAGACTCCAATACTTTGGCCACCTCATGCGAAGAACAGACTCATTTGGAAAGACCCTGATGCTGGGAAAGATTGAAGGCGGGAGGAGAAGGGGATGACAGAGGATGAGATGGTTGGATGGCATCACCGACTCAATGGACATAAGTTTGAGCAAGCTCCAGGAGTTGGTGATGGACAGGGAGGCCTGGCGTGCTGCAGTCCATGGGGTCGCAAAGAGTCGGACACGACTGAGCGGCTGAACAAGAACAACAAAGAGGCCACGGCTGGTGTCGTTAAGAAAGGTGTCTCTTGGGGACCTCCCCTGAGAGTCCAAGGTTAAGATTTCGAGCTTCCATTGTGGGGTCATGGGTTCATTGCCTGGTTGGGGAACTAATATCTCACATACTGCACAAAGCGGCCAAAAAAAAAAAAAAAAAAAGGTGTCTCTTGGAGGCAACAAACTTTCAAAGAACATGCAGAGTAAGCAATGCTCTGTGCTCCTCTAATCCCTGCGAGGCACCGCTTCTGTCTGATGGGTGTTCTCACCCAAGGCAGGTAAGACTGCACCGTGGATGATGTCTGCGGATCCTGACAAGCCATGCCGCTCACAAAACAGGCTCCAGGGCTCACGTGTGCACTCCAAATTCACACGTTCACCTCCACTCATAACCAAGGAGTCCCACGTGCTGGAGGTGAACACATGAAATGTTTACTGAAGAGACGACGTGAGTCTAGACTTGGCTTCAAGATCATCCAAACTGGAGGGGAGGGTATCATGACACGAGAGGGGCTGGGAGTGCGGGTGTTGCAGCTGAGGCATGGGAAGTTTATTATACTATTTGACTTTTAAAAAATATTTATTTATCTGGCTGTGTCTGGTCATACTCGCGTCACATGGGATCTTCTGTTGCAGAGTACCAACTCTCTACTGATGTGGGCTCAGCAGCTGTGGCACATGGGGTTCGCTGCTCCATGGCATATGCCATCTCAGTTCCCCCGCCAGGAATCGAACCTACATCCCCCGCACTGGAAGGCGGGTTATGAACCACTGGACCAGCAGGGATGTCCCTACAAATGGCTATCTCTGTGTGCGTGTAGCTTGAAGCTGTGTCCTGGCCTGGATGCGTAAGGGTGGCTGGACAACAACGCTATGATACTATTTTCTTAACTTTTGCTATTTATCTAAAATGTTTCGTGATAAAATCTAAAAACTAAAAAATGGTAAACATGCTTCACCCTAGGCCTTCACGGCTCTTATAACCAAATTCAAAGTCAGCCTTGTGCATGTGTTAGTCGCTCAGTCGTGTCCAACTCTTTGTGACCCCGTGGACTGCAGCCCACCAGGCTCCTCTGTCCATGGGATGCTCCAGGCAAGAACACTGGAGTGGGTTGCCATTCCATGCTCCAGGGGATCTTCCCCACCCAGGGAGGGAAGCTGGGTCTCCTGCATTGCAGGTAGACGCTTTATGGTCTGAGCCCCCAGGGAAGCCCATTACAGCTCTTACACCCAGATTCAACCACGTGTTCCTGCAGAGAGTCAGCTGACTTGAGCCTGGCTTATTGGTGGTTTCCGTTTCTGCTTTCCAGCATCTTTATAAAACAGTGATACGTTGTTTAATCATTTCACATTTGCACAATGTGACCTGTTATGGGCTAGTTACTGTCGTAAGCACTGTGTCTAGAATAACCAATAGGACACAACTCGAGCCTACAAATAGCTCACGGTTGTGCAAGTTCTCACAGGTAGGCAGGTGTGCACACAAGTGGGCAGGTGTGACGCGGAGTCGAGTGCGCTTGGCATTGCAGCCCATGATACGGTCACGGCGCTTCGTAACCGGGGGTGGAGTGAGGTATGAGAACTCAGTAGAGGGGACGTGACGTCTGAGTAAGTAGATATCTGGTGACATCATTCTAGGCGGGTGGAGATTCAAGACCAAGGGTCAAGAGATGTCACCTCCATCTTTAAATAGATGTAGACCAAAAGTCAATGAAAGTGAAAAGTGAAAGTGAAGCCGCTCAGTCATGTCTGACTCTGTCGGACTGCAGCCTACCAGGCTCCTCCGTCCATGGGATTTTCCAGGCAAGAGCACTGGAGCGGGCTGCCATTTCTTTTTCCAGGCGATCTTCCTGACCCAGGGATCAAACCTGGGTCTCCTGCATTGCAGATAGACACTTTACCACTTGAGTCACGAGGAAAGCCTGTAAGTCTACAGGGAACAACTATAAGTGACCAAGGAAATGTGGTTTATTTTCTACACTAGGTACTGGCATTCATCATTCTACCCATAAAAAAAAAAGATCAAGAAAACTGAAGAATTATCATAGGCGAAAAGCCATCATCATATGATAATCTGCAGTATCTCAAAACAGGGTTAATGGTAAACAGTTATTCTCCTTAAATTTTTCATTTTCCTAATTGTGTTAAAGTCCTGCCCCTCCTTTCTTGATAGTCGAGGCTTACTGCTCTGAATAACCTGGAACTTTTGATACAAGACTTTTTTTTAATAAATTGTTTAATTGGAGGCTAATTAGTTTACAATACTGTAGTGGTTTTGCCATACACTGACATGAATCAGGCACAGATGTACATGTGTTTCCCATCCTGAACCCCCCTCCCACCTCCCTCCCCACCCCATCCCTCTGGGTCATCCCAGGGCACCAGCCCTGAGCACCCTGTCTCATGCATCGAACCCGGACTGGCTATCTATTTCACATAACGATAATATACATGTTTCGATGCTATTCTCTCAAACCACCCCACCCTTGCCTTCTCCCACAGAGTCCAAAAGTCTGTTCTTTACACCTGTGTCTCTTTTGCTGTCTCGCATATAGGGTCATTGTTACCATCTTTCTAAATTCCATATATATGCCTTAGTATACTGTGTTGGTGTTTTTCTTTCTGACTTACTTCACTCTGTATAATAGGCTCCAGTTTCATCTAGCTCATTACAACAGATTCAAATGCATTATTTTTAATGGCTGAGTAATATTCCATTGTGTATATGTACCACAGCTTTCTTATCCATTCATCTGCCAAGGGGCATCTAGGTTGCTTCCATGTCCTGGCTATTAATACAAGATATTTTGTATCGAAAGAACACTGCAGACTTCTCCATGAAAGTCCCAAGTAGAGGTTAATTATGCAGTCAAATGCTCTACCACTGAGCTATACCCCCTCAAGTAGAAGTTAAGTATGAACAGTGATGGCAAGTGGTATTCCCAGATGCTCCATTATTTTCTGACTGCACCCGAACTGTGGTGCATCGCAGTGCATAAAGGACACTAAACAGACGTGGACACCCTGCTGCACCGTCTGGTATCAGCATTCTGTCCACCTCACGGGCAGTAGCCACATCCTCTAATAACAACAGTAACAATCACCAACATAAGAATTTTGCGCTTCCCTGGTGCCTCAGTGGTAAAGAATCCACCTGCTGATGCAGGAGACACGGGTTCCATCCCTGATCCAGGAGGATCCCACAGGCCGCAGAGCAACGAAGTCCCAGAGCCACTGAACCCACACACCCTAGAGCCTGTGCTCTGCAACAAGAGAAGCCACCGCAATACGAAGCCCCGAGCACGGCAACTAGACAGTAGCCCCATGCTCCCTGCAACTAGACAAAAGCCCAGGCAGCAATGAAGATGCCGCACAGCCAAAAATAAACAAAATTAGCAACAAAAAAATCGCTCCTCATAATAACACTAGGAGACAGTCTCGTTTGAATACTTATTTGAATACTTACGCCCTGAAAGCAATTTCTGTAAATTCTCTGCCTTTAGGATCAACCCATTATGATCAGAGGAACTATTTAGCCTATTTCACGGTAACGGAAAATGAGGCTCCCAGAGTTTATACAAGGTACCCGTCCAGACGGCGTACGAAAAAGCAGAAAGATGTCTTTGCCAACCAAGGTCTGTATAGTCACAGCTATGGTTTTTCAAGCAGTCATGTACGGACATGAGAGTTGGGCCATAAAGAAGACTGAACACCAAAGAACTGATGCTTTCATATTGTGGTGCTGGAGAAGACACTGGAGAATCCCTTGAACATCAAGGAGATAAAGCAGTCAATCCGAAAGGAAATCAACCCTGAACATTGATTGGAAGGACTGATGGTGAAGCTGAAGCTCCAATACCTCTGGTCACCTGATGCAAAGAGCCAGCTCAGCAGAAAAGACCCTGATGCCGGGAGAGATTAAGGGCAGGAGGAGAAGGCGGCAACAGAGGACGAGATGGTTGGATGGCATCACCGACTCAGTGGTCATGAATTTGAGCAAGCTCCTCGAGATAGTGGAGGACAGAGAGGAGCCTGGTGTGCTGCAATCCACGGGGTCACAGAGAGTCACACACGATTCAGGGAGTGAACAACAAACAACCCATCCAGCAGGGGACACGGGTGCCGAGAAGCTGATGAACGTACAGCTCGGGAGCTGAGCGATCATATCCTTCCCGTCGTGTGCCCACAGTGTCCATGTCGGGAACACAACAGGTACGCAACGATCTTTAAGCCAGTAAATGACATGCATTGCAAGATAATAACGTTTCAAGATAACAGTTCTAATCGGTAAGGTGCTTTCTTGCTCCCATGTGCCTGAGAGCTTAAGAAAGGTGATGGAGGGCTTCGCTTGTGGTCCACTGGTTAAGAATCGACCTCACAGGGCAACCAGACACCGATACCTGGGGTTCTCTACCTGGTCCAGGAAGATCCCACGTGCCGTGGAGCAACTGAACCCATGCGCCTCAACTACTGAGCCCGGAGGCTGCGATTACTGAACCACACGCGCCCTAGGGCCTGCGCTCCCCAACAAGAGAGAGGCCGCCACAATGAGCCCACACGAGGTGAGCAGAGAGTAGGCCCCTTGTGCCGCAACTGGAGAAAGCCCACACACAGCAATGGAGACCCACCACAAGCCAGGAAAATAAAGAAGAGTGACTGAGAATCAGAAGAAGACAGAAGGTTCGACATGATATGCACAAATGAGGGTATTCATGAACTCATAGTCTATGAGAATTTCGCAAATTTCTGACGGCGAAATGTACTGATCTGACAGAGTCAATTCCCAGGTGGGCTGATAAGACGTGCCGGGGTCCCCGAGGAGAGAGGGGTCTGGGGGTCTCGAGGAGGAGACAGGGGTCTGGAATTCTCAAAGAGGAGGATAGGGGAAAGGAAAAACTTGGTGTTTTTTTTTTTTTGCCTCTACATTCCTTAGTCTTAGGCACATAAAACCGTTTTTTTCTTTAAGCTGGGAACTGATGAGTACATAGCAATCAACTCAGTTTAAACTCTGTACCAGGGATTATGTAACAACAATGTAGCCTGCTTGAGGGTAGTTTTTCCTTCCTGAGAACCTTCTGAGTAATCCTGATATCTTAGAATGTGTATCGTGGGAGTGGGTCTCGTAAAATTTTTACAGCCTTGAGACATTCATTTGACTTAACTGTAATAGCCAGTTAAAAATGTACGTAATTCCCTTGCTAAAGAGGAAGGGCACTCTCCACCCCCTTCTGATGTCTCTTTCAGAAGCTCTCTCTGCCCATTTTCACTGTAATAAAACTTCTGCCACCCAAGAGCCCTGAGTGCTCAAGCCTGGTCTCTGGTCCTGAAGCTAAATCTTCTTCTCTGGAGATCACGAATCCGACACCATTCACCCTAAGCTATCAGATCTTGTACCTTGACGTGGGTACTTAACAGGAAAAAAAAAAAAAATCATTTCACAAGCACTTGGGTCATTTTGTAAACTGAGTGTGTGGTTGATGGAGAGTGAACTCCCTAAATTAGTGCTTCCCTGACTTGGCTGATGATAAGAAGCACTCTGGGAAACTTGGAAAAAGTACTGATCCTTGGATAAGAAGCGTGGATAAGACACAGCAAAGCTAAGTGTCTTTCAGAATTACTTTCGCGCTTGGCTTAGTCTGTCAGTTGACTGATCCCTGTTGATGCAGGACAAGCAGAGAAAGGCAGACACAAAGACAAAGACAGAGACAAGCAAAAAAAACACTGCCATATTCATCTGTGGTCCCTCAGTTGCTTTCACCAAAAATATTTTAAAAAGAGAGAGAGAGAGAGAGAGAAACAGACATCTGTCCATTGATACGTTGCATCTGCAATTTAGCAAACTTTCCAAAGACCAAATATATTAATTTTGTAACTTGACTGATTAGCAGGACAGGGAAAATTCCCCCAGGTATACAGATGATTTTGTAAAACTTTCCATCCAGATCTTGACCTGAACTATGTAAGTGAAAAGATAACTCTGTGAAACCTTGCTAAGTGTGAAGATGATAAGTTTCCACTGGAGGGAGGAGATATATTTATACCTACGGCTGATTCACCTTGCTGTATGGCAGAAACCAATACATTTTAAAGCAATTATCCTTCAATTAAAAATTTTTTTTAAAGTTTCCACTGCCCAAGAATTACCTTTCAGAAAATTTGCTTTTGTCAGAAAAGCAAAGTCACCTTCTTTATTCTAAGAAGATAGTGTCATTTGATTAGAGAAAAACTGTCAGGGTAGAAGGTGCTGAATGTGCTCCAGACTATTATCAACATTTAAACTACTCTGGATACTAGGCTATGCTCAAAAGTGGTCAAGAGCACAAGCTTTTCTTATAGTCTCCACCTCTGACCCCTTGCACCAACCATGTATATAGTTTATAGATTTCACGGTTTGAAGGTTCAGAGACACCTTCATAAAGTGTCTCTACCTCATAGAGACAGATCCAAAATATTACAATAAAAAAAAAAATCACAAAATATATGATGTCCCCCCCCCCACCAAGAGTGATAGTCATAAGCATAAAACAGTAGGCTATCACCACCAAAGACATCAGGCATTAAAACTGTCAATGCAGGATGTAAAATAAATATGTATTAAATATCTAAAAAAAATAGAATTAACAACATAAGAAGCAAAATATCATAAAAATGGCCAGGAAGATTTTTGAGAGATTAGCAAGCAAAATTTTTAAGTGAAAAAAAAAGAGATAGTTCAAACTTAAAAGAAAAAAACAATTAAAACTAAATGGAAGAATTACAGACTAAGATATCTGAGGTTTATTTTGTGTCATCACTCAGTCATGTCCAACTCTCTGTGACCCCACAGACTGTAGCCTACGAGGCTCCTCTGTCCATGGGATTTTCCAGGCAAGAGTACTGGAGTGGGTTGCCATTTCCTTCTCCAGGGGGATCTTCCCGACCCAGGGATCGAACCCGGGTCTCCTGCATTGCAGGCAGACGCTTTTCCCTCTAAGCCACCAGGGAAGCCCCTGCTAATAGATTATAATATAGATGTATACAAACAACACAGAGTAAGCTACAAAAAAGTGAAGTTGAAAAAATTAAGTGGAAGTTTTAGATTCAACTGACTAAATATATAAAAAGAGCCAAAATATATTTAAGTGGACTTTTTTTTTAATGCAGAAGAGACAATATTAAAAGAAAATAGTGGAGAACTCTGCAGCTTTGGTGAAAGACAAAAATCTTTCGAATCTAAGACCAACCAGTTTCAAGCTGCAAGATTAAAAAGAAAGTCGAATCATATGTTAGCCAAATTGGTAGTATCAAACCCAAGGAGACAGAAATTTTGACCGCAAAAAGCATGTAATAGAAAAAAAAAAAAGTTCATGATTCCTGTGCTAGGAACTCAAAGCAGCTGAAGACATAAAATCAACTCAAGAAAATTATTCAAAGAAAGCAAAAAGATGGTAATAATAAAGATAGCACCAACTGACACAGAAAAAGACGTGAAACAGAGTTAAAACAGAGCCGAGTGTCCAATTTTTTAACAGAAAGGTAAAATTAAAAATCAACTGAAAAACTGTCCCAGAGAAAAAGAAAAAAAAAAAAATGAAGTGCACATAATTGATGATGGAAATGAACTGGGAAGATAACTACATTATACTCAATATTTCAAAATTCAAATCATACACATTCCTTTAAAAACATTAAGACAAAGTAAAAAAGAAACTGAAATCCTACATGATCAGATACACATGAAATAAAAATGGGATAACTATGTTTCTGTATAAAGTGTGCATGCGTTATATTTCACAAGACAAAAAAACCCAGAAAATAAATATTCCAGCAAGGTAGAAGGATACAAGATTGACACACAGAAGTCAACTAATTTCTTTAATAATGAAATGTAAGAAAGGGAATGCAGGAAAAATGATAGTTTAGAATTGCACCAAAAAATAAAATATGCAGAAAAGAAATGTCACAATGTGACCAGAGCTTGCTAGGTTCCTTCTTTCCCTGGTTTGTGATGCACTCACTGAAGTCTTCCACGTACCCAACAGAGGAGACAGCAGCCTAGAGGCACTTTCTCTTCTTGATGTTCAGTTGCTCAGTCGTGTCTGACTCTCTGTGATGCCGTGGACCACAGCACACCAGGCTTTGCTGTCCTTCACCATCTCCTGGAGCTTGCTCAAACTCACACCCACTGAGTCGGTGATGCCATCCGACCATCTCATCCTCTGCCGTCCCCTTCTCCTCCTGCCTTCACTCTTTCTCAGTCACGTTCACCTCTTTGCGACCCCATGGACTGTAGCCCACCTGGGCCCCTCTGTCCCTGGGATTCTCCAGGCAAGAACACTGCAGCGGGTCACCATTTCCTCCTCCAGGGGGTCTTCCTGACCCAGGGCTCAAACCTGGGTCTCCGGTATTGCGGGCAGATGGTTTATCAGAGTCTGAGCCACAGCACATCCCATATAGGCACTCACATTAATTAAAACTGGACTTCCCTGGTGGCCCAGGGGTTAAGAATTCACCTTCCAATGCAGGGGACATGGGTTCCATCCCTGCTCCGGGAAGATCCCACGTGCCTAGGGGCAGCAAAGGCAGTGCCTGGCAATGACTGAAGCCCGTGAGTCTCAACAAGAGAAGCTACCGTAATGAGCGGCCCACACACGACAAGTGGAGAGTAGACCCCACTCAGGCAAAGCTAGAGAAAGACCCAGCTTGCGGCAAAGAAGACCCAGCGCGGCCAAAAAAATACACAAACAGTTTTTTTAAAAAAGATTCTTAATTCATTACTCACCACTAAATAAAACTGAAAGCTCAGTTCCTGAGTCACGGCAGGCACAGTTCAAACACTCTTTTTTCCACACGCAGCTGGTAAAAGGTATTTTGGGAAAGAGATGCTGGACTAGAATCCATCACGGAGAAATTCACAGGTGAGACAGTCAAACGGAGACCCTGAGTAGCGTAAGGGTCTTTCAGAAGGTCAGCAAACTTTTCTGTAAAGAGTTGAGAGTCAATATGGTAGGCTCTGTAGGCCAAAGAATCTTTTCTCACAGCTCCACACGGCTGTCTGACAAACATCCTTTTGTAAGTCTTTTGTCTTACAAAAGTCGCCATGGACCACTCGCCCAGGAGTGTCCGTGACTGTCTTCCAATAAAACTTTACTGCCAACACATGCAGGGGCCAGACTCATCCCAGAGGCTGTAGTGTGCCAACGCCCACAATAGCGGG